GACATATATATATATATATATATATATATACATGTATAATTTTTTGTCTTGTTAGCCTTGTTATCCTCACATGATTCTGACTTAGATAGAAAGAACATGTAAACCTGCATCTCTGTGGTGGCCCCTGTAGTCTCCCACAGGCCTCTCACATATGATGTATGTAGGATGCAGTCTGAGGTGGGTTTCTGTCTGTGGAGAGGTGTTGAGTGTCTGGTCAAGTGGGCTTTGCGTGATGGCTTCTGTGGGAACACTTCAATGTAGCGCTGCGGGGAGATATTTTCCATGTGTGGTGTTAACGTTCAAACCTGGGTCTGACCAAAATGGCATTTCCATCATCTCACCATTGCCTCTGCTGAGATCCATTTTAATGGCAGTTCAAAATTTTTTGTCAAAACCTTGAACATTGAACAAAACATTGATGTTTTTGAGACATGTTGTTTTTTATACTGTTAGTAATTATAACCGTAATGAATAAAAATAACAATAAATAACCAACTCTCTGCTGGAGGACCCCTTAAGGTGCAATCATATTTACTGTTGTTCTGCAAATTTTCTATGTGAAATAGAATTGTTTTGATAGGAATTCATGTGATCAGGCAATTCACATGAGGGTGAAAGATTTTCTCATGCAGATTTCACATCAGGGTCAAGTTGGACATGCAAATTTGCTGCACTGACCAACAAAAAGCTGCTTGGTTTTAAAGTGGGTTCTCTGTGAGCTGCCCTTCATACATTACTATTCTATTGATAACAGACAATGGTGCTTTTTGTGTTCGAAGAATTAGGAAACACATGTTTAGAGCTTTAACACAACACAACTTTAGAGCTTTGAAGGCCCACAAAGATTCTCCTCGAAGGCCCCCATGATTTCTACTCAGGGGGACACCCACCCCCACCAACAGAATATGATTTTTACTGAGAGGGGTTCCCTAACCCCCTCCACCCCAGAATGTGATTTCAAGGGGGCCCAATGCAATATACTGTACAAGGGGCCCAATGATGCCATTGACTAGGGGCGCTTGTGGTCATTTGCACTGTTTGTGCTGAGGATTCCTATGGTAATCTAAATTTCGGAGGACCATGACAGTTTGAAGGCCTGGTCTCAGGAGTCAGGCCCCACTTAAAAGTCTGGAACAGGCATTCATATAATATAGACTTAAAATGATAGAATACCCCTGTCATCATTTACTCATCCTCAAACCAGTATGAGTTTCTTTCTTCTGTTGAACACAAAAGAAAATATTTTGAAGAAAGCTGGCAACCAAAGTATGGAAAAAATACTATGAAAGTCGATGGTCATCTTGTAACAGAACAATGGCGAGTAAATGATCAAATGACAGATTTTTCATTTTTGGGTGAACTATCCTTTTAATATATCAATACCAGTAATGCAGGATCTACTGTACATTTCTATGCCCAAGACCTATGATCAAAAAATAGTATAGGGTGCACATGAATGTCACAAATATTTATTCGCTGATTACCAGTTGAATAGTGTGTGGACACACACACTGACATAGTCGCCTCATGTCATCCAGTGGCAGTTCAGTGCTGAATTCACATTACATAACAACACTGACGGATTATTGGCCTTGTGTCCAGAACCAATGAAACTCCTCTCTTTAAAAGAAGAAGAAAAATAAATAAAAAATAACCATCTGAGAGATAAATTGTAGAGTTACATTAAAATATTATTATTTAATCCAGTTTCTGTAGTTTGGTAGCTACTGTAGGTTATATGAAATGACATGATATTTTTTTAGCAGAAAAAAAGTGTCTAGTAGTGTAGTGTGATGTAATTATAGATTTAAATAAACACATAAAATTAAAGTGTACTGGCCAAAAAGGCTCATAAACTGCTCTTCGGTCTCCCGTTAAAAGCATTACTCTCTCTGCGCCTATTACATAATGATTGATGACATAACACCGTACTGGCTCGGGACAGCGCGAGCCTGGACAGAGTCATTGCGCGCGCCAGAGGCCACTCGGCTCTATTTATCCAACAAGTGCCAGTCCGTTTCTCTCGTTCTCTCTCTCTCTGGGACCGTTCAACGATTTTTTTCTTTCCCTTTGAAATGTCAAATACGCATGCTAGTTACATTAAAACGACAGCGAAGCGGAGGAACGTGTTGACATAAACCTAGTATGTTTATTGACCAGACGCGCCAACTTCTTGGGGATAATTGAAAATGGCGATGTGCTTGTTAAAACGTTTGCGGCGTCCCGGTCGTTAAGGTGTCAGCAGTTGTCATTTTTCCTCTGGTTTTCTTTATTTTGAGTTGAATTTTAGTTTAATTGCTTTAGGCTAGTTTAAATAAAACCACTAATCACAACTAAACGATTCGGTTAAGGAGGTGTGTTGCCGTAGAGAGTTTTGACAGGAAAGTAATGGAAAATGATGAGCCCGCATCACCGGACCCGAACCATGACAGCACTCAGAGTAAAAGAGGTAAGCGTGTCATTAATTAACCCATTACATACCTCAGTACTGTATTAGTGGGAAATCATCTCAGATTATACGTGTGTGTGTGTGTGTGTGTGTGTGAGAGAGAGAGAGAGTGTTTCACACACTTTTGAAATAGTTTGGTAGCTACTGTAGGTTATATGAAATGACATGATATTTTTTTAGCAGAAAAAAAGTGTCTAGTAGTGTAGTGTGATGTAATTATAGATTTAAATAAACACATAAAATTAAAGTGTACTGGCCAAAAAGGCTCATAAACTGCTCTTCGGTCTCCCGTTAAAAGCATTACTCTCTCTGCGCCTATTACATAATGATTGATGACATAACACCGTACTGGCTCGGGACAGCGCGAGCCTGGACAGAGTCATTGCGCGCGCCAGAGGCCACTCGGCTCTATTTATCCAACAAGTGCCAGTCCGTTTCTCTCGTTCTCTCTCTCTCTGGGACCGTTCAACGATTTTTTTCTTTCCCTTTGAAATGTCAAATACGCATGCTAGTTACATTAAAACGACAGCGAAGCGGAGGAACGTGTTGACATAAACCTAGTATGTTTATTGACCAGACGCGCCAACTTCTTGGGGATAATTGAAAATGGCGATGTGCTTGTTAAAACGTTTGCGGCGTCCCGGTCGTTAAGGTGTCAGCAGTTGTCATTTTTCCTCTGGTTTTCTTTATTTTGAGTTGAATTTTAGTTTAATTGCTTTAGGCTAGTTTAAATAAAACCACTAATCACAACTAAACGATTCGGTTAAGGAGGTGTGTTGCCGTAGAGAGTTTTGACAGGAAAGTAATGGAAAATGATGAGCCCGCATCACCGGACCCGAACCATGACAGCACTCAGAGTAAAAGAGGTAAGCGTGTCATTAATTAACCCATTACATACCTCAGTACTGTATTAGTGGGAAATCATCTCAGATTATACGTGTGTGTGTGTGTGTGTGTGTGTGAGAGAGAGAGAGAGAGTTTCACACACTTGTGAAACGTGGAACAAACTCGCACACACATTCAGTCATAGATATGAGACCAGTGGCACTCTAAAAATACACCCTTTATGCGACAGAAGTGCCTGTCTGTGCGCCAGCAGTCCTACACTAACCCACAGCGCTTGTGCCACGCGAGCCAGCGAAACCACAACTCTGTGACTCCTGTCACATCTACCTCTGATCCAGCCTGCATTCGTAAGAGTGTGTTGTGCTGTCTTATCTATTCCTGTTGAACGTGCAGTGTAATTTCAGCCATCCTCAGTGTTGAGTGTAAAATTATATTTCCTGGTGCTGTTGTCACTTTTTGTGACAAGTCAAGTTTTTCCAAGTTTGGGAGTTAAACTCTGCGGTGCGACAAATTAACTTTGTAAAGAATGAAGAATTCTATGTTCATTCTTAAAAATAAAGGTTCTTTATTGGCATCAATGATTACATTAAGAACCTTTAAAATTGATGGAAGCACAAAATGTTCTTTATAGTGCAAAAATGTTCTTTAGATTATTATCTGATAACCCAAAATGGATCCAAAATCACCTTTTGGAATCTTTATTTTTAAGAAGAATTTAAGAATGTGGCCTCTCTAAATGTGTAAAAGAAAGTGTAAAAACAGTTTGAATAGTATATAAAGGTGTGCAAGTTTTTGTAATTCTGTTTAAGTTATATTAAAATAATGTCCATAATATAAAATGGACATTATTAATTGTGTGCCAGAAACGTAGAGATTCACTTGTTTCTCAGAAAGCAGAGGGAAGAAACAAAAAGTCGGGAAAATAAAAGAGAAAAAAAAAGAAAGGAAAGCGATACCCATTGACCAAGTAGCACAGAGATAAGACTATACTTTAGTTACTGAAATGAAATTCCCTCAAGGGTGTCTTATTAGGATCTTGCAACCCAATAAGGTCTCGTTAGGGCCTTATTCAACCGAAAGAGTATTGCTTTAAATCGAAACTGGTGTATTGGGTTATCTGAAGTTGAACTTTTGGCTATTTCACTCTTACGACATTCTTTCATTGAGATCAGTTTGTTCAGTGACCTTTTTCCTGTGTAAACTGTAAGTTAACGCAGACGTGTGTGTTAACCATTAATCCCTTTCAAGTCAAGTCAAGTCAAGTCAAGTCAAGTTTATTTGTACAGCGCTTTTCACGATACAAATCATTGCAAAGCAACTTTACAGCAAATTAAGTTTCTACAATATTTAGTGGTAGCTTATCAGTGGTGACTGTCAGTTAATGTACATATGGCAGAAATGTACGGAAAAATCAATTTAAGACATAATAAAACAGACGATGAACACTATTAACAGCAATTATTATATGATGCAATCAAACTTATAGCAAAATGTGGTAGTTCTGTATGTTGTTTCAGGGTTGGCATCATGAAGCTTGTGTAAATCCTAGTTACCACGGGAAAACAGAGAAACAAATAGAGACATAATTAGCTTAGCCGCTGTTCCATCCAAGCAAAATTGATTTGTTTAACCCAAACTAAAGAATAATAATGTGCATTTGATCAGATATAACTGCAGTACAAGATTATGAGATGCATTATTTGAATGCTTGGCCAAAGAGATGTGACTGTGAGGGAATATTTAGATCGGGTGGCGCATCAGGTTTCATGCAATACATGTTTAGGCAAAATGTTATGTGGGAAGTATATTTTGATTTAATTAAAATGATTTAAATCAAGATCAAATAATCAGTTTGGCACAATATCAGTTTTTTAAACATAATTTTCAGCCTAAATGGTATGAAAGGTTGTTGCATTTTAATATATTATATTATGCAAAATTTGTTTGCTCAAAGCTGTATTTCAACAGTGTTCAACTTTTAATGCTACACAAACAGTAAATTTAGGACTTGTTATACATTGTTTAAAGAACAATCAGAAATGCATAATCCATATCTTAAGAATATACAAACCATGTGTCATACCCTCCTGCCCTCTTGTTACGTGCCTTATCAGTGTCACTCTCTCTTCATGCAGCCCTCTATCAAACATATTTATCCCTGTTCTCACACTTCCCCTATCTGACACTCCCTTTCTGCTCTTTTCACTGAATCATCTAAACACACTTTCCCTCTGTTTTGAACTCCTCCACATTCATTTTCTGTTCTGTTCTGTCTGCTTCTGTTCTTTGATGAGCTCCCACTTGCACCTGTGTACTTGCACCTCATACCTCTTGTGTACATCATGTAAGTCTAACTTTCCCATTCTGAGTCAACATCTCATCCCTCTGTTCACCTGTGCACAAGCTAGTGCTTATCAGCGTCTTTATATTTTCAGTCACAGACCTTTACACTTTTAACAACAAAGTTACTTTCAAGCTTCTGATCAAGAACCATTTTTTTGTGCATTTTTTTGTTCTTAAATTGGTTAAATTGCTCTTTGGAGATTTATTGCAGCTTCTTCAGAGAATAGGTTAAGACTTTCCGGGTTCTTTAAAGGAATGTTCCGGGTTTCAAGTTAAGGTCTATCAGATGTGTCTGTGGATTAAGACAATAGTTTTAAGTCTTTCTTCAGTGAAGAAAACCCATATAATGCCCTTACAATGGAAATATATGGGACAAGACTTTAAACATTGTTTCAAAATTATAGTTACATTATATGTTAACATGAGCTAATTGTGACAGAATCACTTATCCACCTTTCCTGTGCTAAGCTATATCCAATTTTAACTCCAGCAATTTAAAGCTCTAAAATATGCAAAAGGAAAAATCCACCCAGAGGAATTATATCTTTAATGCATAACCAGGGGTTCATTCATCTAGAACAGAAGCCTCAGTGCTAAATACTAGACAATTTTACCCCCAAATAACATTTTTGTTTGTAAGTTACTGTTGAAATGATTATCTTTGGTAATTAACAGCATATCACTGACATTCCTTTAAAGGACCCAGGAGGGTTTAACTTTTCTCCTGTTAATGGATGTTTTACGTAGAGTCAATATAGTGGTCTGAAGAAGCTACAAAGTGCGTAGCATCAATAACTTCAAATAAGGGATAGTTCTCACAAAAAGGAACATTCTGTCATCATTTACTCACCATAATGTCATTTCAAACCTGTATCACTTTCTTCCTTTTGTGGAACATCAAAGAAGATATTTTGAGAAATGTCTCAATGAGTTTTTTTGTCCATATACTGTACAGTGGAAGTCAACGGGAACCAAAACTGTATGGTTACCAGCATTCTTCCAAACTTTCTTCCACAGAAGAAATAAAGTCACATGTTCAGAACATTATGAGGGTAAATAATGATGACAGAATTTTCATTTTTGGGTGAATTATCCCGTTAAGCACATTTCTGTTCCATAGATGTCCATTGTAAATGCATTACTGTACTGTACATGAGATGATTGTTTGTTTCTACAAACCGAGCCTACCTAAGCTTAAATAAAGCTTAACCTGTGTTGAACTCATTGATTTAGTGCTCGACTGTACATGTTTTTCTGAAGAACTAAAGAATAAATAGTTCTTTATGGAGCTTATAAATGTTCTACAGCATCAGGTTGTAAAATCCTTGGTTCTATTCAAAACCTTATGTATTTAATATTGTGGACCCTACTGATAACTGCACATCACCAGATGCATTCTGCATCTCTTTGCCTTCATGAATCTATCCTCTTTACACAGTAGAGTCATCAAATAATTACTTTACTGGTCCCCTGACATTTTCTTAATGTTTTAATAACTGAGCAATAACTTATGAGAAAGCAAAGAACTCTGCTTTCATGAGCAGAATTAGACCGTGTTTGTGAACGTTATTACTGAGGGTTTAACCACCTGGAGTCCTTTAGTTTTTTATATCATATCCACAATTTTCCGCTCCTGAATGCAGAAATCTCGTTCAATCTCTTCTCTTCTGATGTTTACCACTTAGATTGCTCTGTGTTACTAACCCTAAGACTCATTTCTCATTCAGTGTTTTCTCAGTTTTTTTTCTCTCGCTCTTGATTTTTCTCTCTATCTCTCTCATTCTCTCTAACCTACCCTCACATCACCTTGCCAGAAATACTGTAAATAATTCTGTGTGTGGTAAGAATGGACATAATCTGGATTAAAGTAAAGATTAGTGTTATCAAGTGTTTTTGGATTCCTGATCTATTTCCAGAAGCCGATTGGCTAATTTGAGATCCAAAAGCTTACCTCCACTACCCCACTACACAGATTACCTGTTTTCACACACACAAACCTCTCAGATTCACACACATTGCAACACTCTTTCGCAGTTTCTTCCCAAGCTAATATGTGAATATGGTGATTATGAAGGTAGAATGTGACATTTGACTAAACACGGGGAGATTTTATACAGGTGGGAGTGAGAAAGAACTTTAAAGACTGAACAGAAGAAGAGATGGGTGCGAGACAAAAGGAAACCACAAAGTAATGAAACACTCAACGACAATATGGCATGTGTTACCTTATAGCGGTTTATGAATCTACATAGATGAGGCAAATCTTGAGACTCATGATAATGTCAATGGCTGTCAACTGAAAACTGAAATAACTTTGATGCTCTGTGTTGTATCTTTACAGTTATTTATGTACATTCATTTTCATTCACAGCTAGTTGAGTTCAAAGCACTTTTTAGAAGTTAGTCTCTCAGGATGGGTCAGTTTTTAGTTTTTATGGGATGTTGTTGACTTGTTGATTCTCTTGTATAGCGGCAGGGGTCCTCAGAGACTTCTTGTTATAGAAAAACAGAGGACAACTGCCACCTCACAGGTCATGTTTCCAGTAGCTTAACACCCTGAAGCTCTTGACTGGTTACCCACTGAAGCTAAGCAGGGTTAAGCCTGGTTAGTACTTGGATAGTTGACCTCTTATTTCACTGCCCAGGGAGTTGGCCATTTCTAGGGCTGCCCCATTGT